ATACCGTATACTTGCGGTAATTTATACGTGAGGAAAACGCGTATCAGAGCAGCCGTCGGAGGAACTTTCGTTTGCAATTCTGTGTGAATTGCTCGGTTTTGTCTCTTACCCTTATTTATTTTTCTGCATTAATTAAATCACGTTTTATTCTAGGTTAATTGAGCATTAATATTTTATTCTTAAAATATTATGATATGATTGTTGGTTTTGCTGATTGTTGAGTGATGCTGTCGTCGTTTGTTGCTGATTAATGCCATTATAAATTGTTGTTATTAATTTAATTATTTATTGATTCTGTTGATTAAATATATTATATTATATTTTAATTGTTTCTAATAAAATATGAGTATTTTGATTTTGTGTGGTTTGTCTTCTCCGGGCGGATACCCAACAATTTTAATTTCCAATTTTTTTGGGGGTCAAATTGGAATATGTTCACTTCCAAAAGAAAAAAAAAAGGAAAGTTTTACTTCTTAAAAGATGATATTATCCTTCTAATTTACTCTCTATTTTTTTTATAAGACCCTCCCAATTTACTCAAATCCAACAAGAATTAGATCGAAAATACACATTTTGGGCAAAGTACACCGACTTTTATATTTTGAAGGAGGACAGTCTCCTCTTTGTATTTTGAGATGGGAAAGTGGGAAACATGATTCTTTTGAGGAGGCGAAGTGCAATTTGCCCTAAAAATTCTATTCAATAACAGATTTTCAATTTAGCTAATTATTTTGTGTTTTTTTTTTCTTTCTATTTGTCCAATACATATTATTAATACGGTAATGATACTTGGCCAGAATTTGGCCGGCCAGAAAATGGCATTTACGTAATTATGAGAAAAGTAATAAAGCCTATTTACTAATTTACCCTCAAATTATAATATTTGAATTAAAATTGAGGGATTATTTGACAAACCCCCCTCATACCCACTGTACGTTTAAGATGGATCCAAAAAAAATTCTCTTTTTTAAGATAAATCCAAAATATTTTTTATCAATCTAATTTCACTATAATGTCCTTTCTATTTATTTTTTAACCTAACGTTGCTAGACGTTCCTTTCTTCCATTTCTCTTGTTTCTCTCTCTTCTCTCCACAACCATTCTCCACAACCAACCAACGGCCCGACTCTTTCTCTCACCATCGCCGCCCTGCCGGCCCTCATTTTTCTTCCATCTTTCTTTTCTTCACAACCAACATCTCTTTCACTCATCACCACCGCTCCTTCTCCCGCCCATCAAGACAATTAGGATTAATGGTAATTTGCAGATTCAGATCCAAGCCAAGGACGGTTGTTAACGGAGGAGGAAGAGACATTGTTTGCCGGTGGTTTGTGTTGGAAATTGTAGATAAATTTGAAATAGGAATTTTTTTTTTTTTTTTTACTTTGGTCAATTCTTCACATACACAACCCTAAAAGATAGTGAACCAACCTTATGAAACCAACCAGAGGAAGCTTAGCCACGGACCTCTTCAATAAATAAATTACAAAGTTTAATCAACAAAAAGACAAAACAAATGTGAGCCAAATTTCATAGTGTAATAATGGGAACACCAACAGCTTATACAAACAAAGTCATGGGACTTTTGTTAATTGATAAGTTTATAATGGATTTTTGTAATGTAATTTGTTAATTACATAGTGGTTTTTGTTAATTGATAAGTTTATAGTGAATTTTTGTAATAAAATTTGTTAATTACATAGTGATTTTCATAAATTACAGAGTGATTTTCATTAATTACAGAGTGGTTTTCGTCAATTGATAATTTTTTAGTGAATTTTTGTAATAGAATTTGTTAATTACATAGTGATTTTCGTTAATTACAGAGTGGTTTTCATTAATTACAAAGTGGATTACGTTAATATTAACGTGGATTATGATTATTTTAGAGTAATTTTTATTTTAATTTCATAGTGGTTTTCGATAAATTTAGTGGTTTTCGATGAGTTTATTTTATAGTAATTTTTACTTTAATTTCATAGTGGTTTTCGATAAATTTAGTGGTTTCGATGACTATGTAGCTGATTTCAATATTTTGAAAATATGAACCATTTAAAAAAGTGAAATAAAAAAAAAATCAATTTTTGTTTTAAAATGATATAAAAAAACTATTTAAAACAAAAAAGGAAAAAAGATGAAACTTAAACTGAAGCCGTGCGATAGGGGAGAGAATTGGGGATGGTGTGGAGAGAAAATAGGGGGATTTGCATATCTATTAAAAAAATAATGAATTTTTTTAAATAATATAACATGGTAATTTTAGTAATATTAAATAGGGGTATTTTGGATAATTCCAGCCAATTGGATTTATAACAAATATCAATTAAAAAAATGGATTTATTCAAGAAGTCAAAATCCAATGAGGGGTATTTGTCATATAGCCCCTAAAATTTATTCAGTTTCTCTCTACATTTAATTATAAGAGTAAAAAGCAGTTTACCCCCTAAACAAATGCCCATTTTGCACTTTGCCCTCCAAACAAAAAAAATTTGCACGTTCTTATCTAAACTCCAGTTTTTGTTGCACGGTGCCTCAAAATTGGAATTTTCAGGCCATTTTGACCGGATTCTTACCCACGTGCTTTTCGCGTGAGTTTTAAAGGGGTAAAATAGTCTATTCACTTACCTTCTTCATAAATAAAAAAAAAAAAAAAAAAAAAAAAAAAAATTGGGAAAATCTGCAATTGACTGGGAATGGGTTTCCTCTTAGTTTTCTTCCCGGACGAACACCACCAAAATCAAGAACAAAAAACCACCACCGCCGCCGCCATCACCACCACCGCCGCCGCCACCACCAACAAAAGATTCAATAACTTCAATCTTTTCCCAAATTCATCACCACTCAGGCGCAACAATTCGAACCACCACCTCCTAAACAAAGCCCAATCCACAAGCTCCATCTGCTTGCTCCTCCTCTTCACACTCTCCACCCTACCCTCCTCCGCCGCCACCACCGCCGCCGCCCGCCTCTTTACAAGGAATGGGCAATATACCAATTATTTGGTATATTGGATCCCAATTACCCTTCCCCAACAATTATTACTGTCTCTACACTTCATGCAGTACCGGAAATGGCAGAACCCTCACTCTCTCTTTCACCACCAACACCGCCGTTTTTGCTCAGCTCAAAACCTCTGACAATGAGAGTAGAATTAACAAGGGCAAGAAGAAGAACAAGAGCACGGCAACTAAAATTGAAGCACCTGATCCTGGCGGAGCTCCGGCGGTTTCCGGCGGCGGAAGTGGTGGAGATCCGAAAATTCCGCCGCCGAAGGTCGATTCGTGGAGGCTGAAGGGTTTGCCTAAAAAAGTGTTGTCGATTCTCTCCAATTTGCCCCTGGCGATTGCTGAGATGTTTGCTGTTGCTGCTTTGATGGCCATAGGTATTATAATACTGTAATTTTTGTTTTGTTTTTTCTTTTTATGAAGAATGTAAGAGAATAGACTATTTTGTCCCTTTAAAACTCACGTGTGTAAGATTCCGGTTTAAATGGCCTGAAAATTCCAATTTTGAGGCACCGTGCAACAAAAACCGTAGTTTAGGTAAGAACGTGCAATTTTTTTTTGTTTGGGGGGCAAAGTGCAAAACGGACATTTGTTTAGGGGGTAAACTGTTTTTTACTCTTATTATAATTTGAAAGTTCAATGCATTAAATATCATATTACAACTCCAATAATAAACATCAATTCATCCAATCTTCTTTATTTTGTTGTTCTCTACTTTTCTAAAAGGATCGAAATTTTAAATCTTCTTAATGTTTTCATCTTCTTCATGAAACAAGCTTAAATTCTTAAAAAGTTAAACTTCAGATTTTTTTTATATGAAATAAACCTTAAAAGCCTGGAAATATTTTTTTCATTAATTGTTGATTTAATTAATTTATATTACTACATATATAAAATTACTCCCTATCTAAAGGTATATGTGTGATAAATGAAATAGATTACTAATTTACGGATTGGAATTTTATGTAATATTTTTATAATACTTCAAAACATTCATAGATTTTCATTGACACGTGTGATTTCTTAATTATGCTATTATTTTGTAAAAAAAATTATAATCTCTTTATATTTCAATTTTAAAGTTTATAATTACTAAATTACTGTTTCTTATAATTATATATATATATATATATATATATATATATGTGTGTGCGCGCGCGCGCGCGTGTGTGTTTACTTTGACATATAGATTCAAATAATTTATATATAATTGGACAAATTAAATTTTAAACATATAGATAATTTAAATATATATTACTATTTATAAATAGTAATATATATTTAAATTATCTATAAATTAACTTATAAATAATTTATAATTTAATATATACGTTAAAAATAATTTAAATATAAACTATTGATTATATAGATTTAAATAATTTGACATATAGATCACAATTGACTATATACGATTGTAGATCAAATGATACTTTGAATCTAGAGTAGATTGAATGACACATTGATTATATTATATATATATTGATATTACATATTAGATCACAATTGATTAAATTTCAATCCCTTCCTTTAAAATTGAACAAATTTACATATATACTAAGGTACTAGTTTGCACCCTTTTAAGAAATTATAATTACTGTGAAATTATGTCAAAATTTCTATTTTAAATTTGCGACTTATTTCAGATTATCTTTTTTTAATTGCAAATTGACTTATTTTTTGGGGGCGTTTTGTTAAAAAAGAGTAATAATAAAAATAACAGTAATAAAAATACAAATAATAATAGTAATATTATTATAATTAATAATAATAATAATAATAATAATAATAATAATAATAATAATAATAATAATAATAATAATAATAATAATAATAATAATAATAAAAACTATAAGTTAAAAGAAAATAACAGATTGGTAGCTTATAAATAAAATTGTTCTATTTTTTTAGGCACGTTTAGAATTGATTGGTTATTTTAGGCTGACAAATTGAGTAATAGCAGATTAGGAAGATTAAGAGTGAAATTAGGGAGAAAAATTAGGAGGGAAACTTGGAGCCAAAATCATTAAGGATAAAAATGGTAAAACATAAAAGAAAATTATAAAAAAGGAAAAAAGAAAAAATTATGTCCTAATTTCTAATATTAATAATGCTATATTAAAGCATAGTTAAACATGATTGCATCAATATCCATGGAAACTAGCAAACAAGGGTTCAAAAATTCTATTACAATGTTCAAATCTCCATAAGTCAAAAAACAATAAAATTATAACACAAAAGCCGAAAAAAAGCCCCCGAAATCAAGATCCACGATGTCTCGAGTCCCACCAAAAAAAAAAAATCGAAAAATACATAATAATAATTAAAAATAAGTAAAAAAATAATTAAGTTGTCTAATTAATCAATCTGCAAATTAAATTACTAATCAAGTGCAGAAGTGGAAGTAACATAGTAAGCAACAGCAAACATGGCATGAACCATACACAAAATCCCTCCAATAGACAAGAAATGGTGGTGCGTAAATCCACACGACGCTCTCGATTTATGGTTCGATATTATTCCGATCACCAGCATCGACATTCCTACAGCAAGTATGATCCTATCAACATAAACACACACCGGTTAATTAACATATATATTATAAAAAAAAAAAAAATATATATATATATATATATATGATATATGATATACCAAGTGAAAACAAGACAAGCCATAGATAATTGTTTAGTAGGAGAAGCTTTATGAATCTCTTCTTGAGTGCAAGCACTACATCCTCCAAGCAAGTTTGCAAGAACATGTGCTATTCCGAGGATGCTTGCAGCCGCTAAACCTAGTACATACGCGTCGTGACTCGGTTCCTTACACTCGAATATCCATAGCCTCAAATGCTTTTCCTATAATTATTAATCATCGAACAAACAAACAAACATTATTATTAGTCGAAAAAAAAATTAAAAAAAAAATTGATTGTTTTGTAGTCACCTCGTTTTGAGCTGCTTCGGCTCTGATCCCAAGAACTCCGGCAATAATGTCGAGAGATACGATCAAAAGACAAGCGAAAATGCCGATGAATTTGCCCATTTTTATTTATTTATTTTGAGGGGGGATATAAGTTGTCTTAAGGGACAAGAAGAAGATATATAAATAGTGAAGAAGTGTATCTATGTATGTATGTATAGGTGTGTGGAAGTGTGATGAGATTTAGATGATGCTTGGAAAAAAGCTTCTTTTGTCAATAGTGTGGTGACTTTATTTTTTTTTTACTTTTTTGTTTACTTTTTGAAAAAAAAAAAAAGAATTCCAACCTTTGGATTCTTTGCTTAGGGGTAGAAGAAAAGTAGGGTATAAATCCAACTAAGGAACAGTGTGGCTACTGCAGTAAAGCTATTCTCTTGCATATGCATTACATTTTTTTTATAGTCTTGGTGAATTGTTATAAAGTAATTTTGGAAATGTTTTTTTATTTAAATTGGATTTACATGGTATTTGCAAAAGTTTTTAAAATTATATTATATGTTTTTTTTTAATTCATAGTTTATTTTTGGGGTGTTTCTACATACAGTTAAATCTCTATATATTAATACAGTCGGATTTAGCAAAATTTTATTAATTTATTGTATATTAAATTATCGAGGTTCTACTGTACAACATTTACTTGGTTTATAGTATGCTGCACTGGATGAACATCGGATAGATCTTTACCATTCATATAAGCACACAAACACACAGATACCAAAATTATTGCGTGTAGGTCAACAATAAAAATTTATCTAAAAACAAAACTATCAGCAGCCACCGCTGTTCCGTTGTCTTCTTCCCCATTTGTTCTTCTTCTCCGTTTCTTATTATTTTTAATTTTATATTTTTCATAATTTCTTTTTTCTTCCTACAAATGCATTTTGATACCTCATGCAAAGAACAAGGTTTTCTAAATTTCTTTTCTTTAGTTATGCAACTTCTTTTTATTTCTCATGCAGAGAACAAGGTTTACGAAGATACCGTTCATGAAAACACGAACCAAGTTTACATTTCTACGCATACTTAGAATTTTCGCAAAAGTTTTAGGAAAAAAAAAAAAAATGAAAGATCCAAGACTCCGAAGTGTTTTCAAATCGGAATGAATTTAGAGGCACCGGAATTTCCTTTTTCTGTTGCAGAAAAAAAAAATCGGAATTTTCCAAAAGGGTACATTCTAATCATATCCGTTCGACATACAAAAAGTGGCCGATTTTTAAATTAAAAGGAGAGAGAAAAGAGTAAACACTGAACTATAACTATAAACCAAAGAAGGAATACAAATTACAAAAAAAAAAACCTAAAAAGAATGTTTAAAGACAACGTAGCTCTTCTATACACAAGAATTAGATCACAAACAAATAACGCCACCTGATTGGTCAATCACCGTTGACTAACAATGGTGTGTGTTTGACCAAATCTTCTTCTTCTAATGAGAGGGGTACTTCTATTTTCTTCTAATTGTTTTTTTTTTTTTTAAGAAAAGAAAAAAAAAAGAATAATAATAAATCACCTATCCCACATGGCCTGATAAATCGGAGGTCTGTGCTTTAACCATTGTACCATCTCCTTGTCAAGTTGTCCCTTCCGTAAAACCGCATCTAACATCGGACTTCCAACTACTTTCACTAAGCTCTTGAACGACCATATTCGATCCCTCGGCCAAGGTCTCTGTGGCTGCTTTTCCTGCCATACGAAAAAACAAAAGAAAATTATTATTTAGTTTAATTGTGACACATATTGGAAGCCAAACAAGCCCTTATTCTTACCATTCTCGAAAGCATAAATTTGACTGTTCTTGGACCGTACACACGTTGTCGTGAAGGCTTCTGTACTTTGGCATAGAAGGAGCCAACATCGGGTAAAGACAAGCAGCCTCGACTTGCCTTGGCTAAAGTAGAATCCGGTTCTGCGTTTTGATCGTGCCAAAATATAAGCTGTCCTAAACAATACGTCTCGCCGTACGTCTTGCAATACTCGTGAACACCTGAACCTAATCTATCTGCATATTTTGGACCGACGTCTAGTGGAGTTATGTGGACAGGTGGCGAAGTTACTTTCTTGTATTCCTGTAACAAAATTTTAAATAAATTCAATCACAAGAAACAAGAAACTAAACGAAAGCGTATCTTGATTGTTAATCACCGAAACAAAAAAAAAAAAAAAAAAAAAACAAAAAAAACAAAAAAAACAAAAAACAAAAAATAATGGGTACTCACTGTTACTCTGAAAAAAGATTTCGTGTGAGCATATATGTGTATTAAGTCAGCAGCTGCATCGTGCCGACTTTTATATGTACATGGAAGGTTCCGGACCTCATCCCTCAACCTGTAACGTTAATAAAAACGGGATTTTTTATATTAAATTAAATGGGATATATGTGCGCAATGAGCTAAATATTCAAATGAATTACCATAATAAAGATTTCTGAAGATTGATCTCTCTATCATTAGAATCGGAAGGGTCGTGTGCATGGATCTTGGCTTTGAGGTCTCTCAAAGCAACGTCTTCCATATGAGGAGCCATGCACTGTATAAGTTCCTCGACGAATGACTCTTCTCCTTTCCATAGATAAGAAGCTGCTGCTTCTGTGCTAAGCTTTTCCAATGGAGGTGGTGCTTTTTTCGGGTCACCGAATACACATCTCATAACATACCTCACCTGCGTTCATATATTCCGATTTTAGTTGCATTAAAATAAATGGAGGGAATATGTTAAGAAAATCGGCTATTACCTTGTCGATAGTGAGAGCCAAATTTTGAAGCCTCTGATTATACACACCCTCAGCCTGTAGCAGTTCAAAAAAGTTGATCATATGTCCTTAACAATACATCTATCTACCAATACACACACACACACACACACACACACACACACACACACACACACACACAGAATATACCTGAATTTCAGCATCACTTTTTTCAACTTCGAGGTGTATTTCAGCAAAATATCTCTTTTTCTCATCTAAGTTATGCCTAAGAATCTCATCGGGGAGTTTCGTTCTCTCGAAATTAATAAACCTCACCTGACATTATAAAATACGAATTATCAGGAATTGTCCTGAAAAAAAATTGAGCTCAAAGCAAAAGCTAAAGAGAAGAAGGCATAATAATACCAATCGAGCCGTATAGGCAATCAGCCAATCAGGCAAGCCACCAAGCAAACAACTCCCAAGTCCAGCTTTACCAAGATCGATATAATCTTCTTCAGATACCGAATTCACTTCGCATGCCTCGAGCAGCAAACGAATCCGTTCAAGTAATCCATGATGCTCTTTCAGCACCTAAATCCCAGAAACACCCTTCGTCAGAATTTAAAAAACCAAACCATCTATCGGAAATGGAGATTAACCAAAATAACATAAAGTCCGAATTTTTTAAAATGAAAATAACTAGTGGATTACTCCGAATCGTGTACCTTCTGGAAAGCCCCTTCACCTGTTAGATTTAGATAACTCCCACGGCAAACCTGGTTGCCGCATAAACAAACAGAAGCCTCGTACTCTTCTTTACTCTGCAGCCAATCAATAATCAATAACAATTACAAAATAAACAAATAAAACCTCTCAAACTTAGCCGAGGATTCACGTGCACTCACCTCAGTAACGGAATTGTAGTCAAAGGTGACCTCTTCACCGTAAGCAATTGGTCTCACAGAATATATACCAATCTGGTACTGACCATCAACAGCAGTGACCCTGTTCCACAATCATCAAGAAATGGATAATGTTTCGTTATCTCTATACATCAATCATAGAAAAGAAGCTGGAAAAAAACAGTAAATAAGCACAAAATATCGATAAATCTTATCCTTTTCAGTAAAAAGCTTTCTTCAGCACTAAAAGAGGACAAGAGTACTTACTTTGCTTCACAGTTGGGTCTGCAGGAGTGACAAATCCGACTAGCATAATTTGCCTTGTGCATTGCATCAACAACAACTAGATCATACCCATCCGCATCACCCTGCGTTCAAAGATTCCAATGAGCCATATATCCCAGACACTATAGAGGTGACAGATAAATACAGATCACACAAGGCAGCAAATGACGCTGCTCGAGATTTAATACATCGAGATTTAGAGGACTCAAAAATCCATTAACTCGGAAAAGTGGTTACCGTTATAAAACTATTTAGATGTACTTCAAAACTTGGGGGATTTGGGAATTTATAATTGCGTTTAAAAAGTATACCCGCAAGACAATAAGCATTATGTTCTTTTCTATCAACTTCAAACTTATCCATAAGAGGCTTTCCTAATTCTTACTAATTACAAAGCGAGCCATTTTATTAAAAATAAATAGGAACGCCTACAGCAGTACTGCTTCAGAGGAAACAGCAGGATCATCAAACATGATTTACAAAAGGGCATTGAATAGACTCATATAATCAGTATAACATACCTTGGGCCTCTCAAGATATATGTTGTAGAACTCTGGTGCTGGATCCTTACTATTCTTCTGCAAAGCACGGATGCCGTCTTGTTTTTCGAACCATTTCCATGTTGGGTAAACCTACAATTCCGGAAAGGACAAGGTCAGCAAATCTTGGAGCATGTTCTCTGCATACAGGTAGACAAGCAAAACAACGAGAAATATAATCTGATAACCTAATCAGCAATATCAAGGAGCAATGAAGATTTTTTTTTGCATCACTTGCAAGTGGGACTAGACATTAATAAGCTAGATTTGGATCAGAAATTAGAGATGTATTAAGTTTCAGAAAAGAGACGAATCTAATAGTAGAATCTTCAGAAGACCTCAACTAGCCTGATGACCACATAAATGTTCTCCCCCACCATGCAAAATGTGCATCATAAAAACCCCTTCACCACATAGCCGAAAGAAGAATATTTGAATTGGTTACTCTAATATATCTAGTTTGTATCAAAAAGCAATGAAGCTCCACGTGTTCCTAGACGTTTACGAACGAATAACAGATGCAACACTACGGAAGTTCCGAGATGCTATGGATCTGCATCATTAAGAACTTCTCAACCAATGACTAGATATTATTCCTGTTCCAAATTCGCAAAATATTTAATACCCACCCAAAACCCCAATCTCCAACTGATAATCCATTAAAAGAAAAAAATTAAATAGGCCAACGGCTCAAATAACTAAATCAAAAAAAGCAGGCAATAGGTACTAGGAATGTAAAGAAAAGCATATGGAAAAGAGAATTGTCGAATATGATAAGTCTGTTATTAGTATTATCATATTAATTGAAGTAAACCTCTCAGCAGCAACCAGTGAAATCAGAATTCATCGAAAACAGCATTAATAAAGCCATAATCATTCACTATCTTGGATTGGTCTAAGAGAACATGACAAGCATTACCTCTCCCAAAAATTCAACAACAAAATCATCTTCACTGAAACCACCTTCTTTGTTGCAAACAACTCCAAGCCCCTATCAAAAGAACAATGTCAGATGGTAAGAACTAATAGAACAAACTCACACACATAAGAAATAAGAATTGACATCTAATAATACCAACTGTAACATTAAATAACTGACCTTTCTATAAGCAACATAATTGTCCTCTGGACGACTATCAATGGCCTTCAGCATAAACCGACAGAGAGACATTATCCTTCTATCACTGTTCTCCTCTGCAGTTTCTGATATCTCTTCGAATACAGACCGCAAAGGGTATACCATAGGAGTGTTTCCAGAACCAGTAAAGTTCCTCACTTGCTTGTTGAGAGTACGAAGCAGAACTTCTTCAATGAACAAATGTTTATCAACAAGCGACCAGTCAGATTCCTCTGGCATGGAATCAAGAAGAAGATTATGGGTATATGGATCTATGCCATAAACTTCTTGTTCAATCACCTCATCCCCCACGGATTTTCTAGGTTTGAAATCCTTAACCTCGGGAATTTCCATGTCAGACTCCTCAGTGCCATTCTTTTGTGCATTAAGCTTCTCAGCATAATCATCAGGCAAAGAAACCTGCATTTTTCTTCTAACTTCCTCTTCATCTGCTACAACAACGTAGTGATCTATAACTTCGTACTTTCTTGTCACAGGGGGGACAAGGCTTGCCTTTGTCATTCGAGCACCCCACTCACGCTCATCGGCCAATGAATCGAACCCGTCATCAGATGTAAAGATTGTCGCCTCTCTTGACTCTTCCATAGTAACTACCGATGTTGACTCCATGTCACTCTCTGTATCTGAAGCAGTACTTGCGCTGTCTGCATTACTAGCGTCAGAAGATTTGTCAAAGTCGTCAGATGTGTCACTCCCCGAATCGAAAGATTTTTTGTTCAACTTGGATAATCGCCTTCTGATTTCTCTGTCAGAAGCAAAATCTCGAGAATCAGAAAGTCCATGCATGAATAGAGAGCCATTGCTTCTATATGACTGCTTCCTTTCAGACGCCTTAGTGAGGTTCTTCTTATACTTCGAAGAAGTAGATGAAAACCCTGGAGGTGAGTCTTCTTTCCATGATTTCATAATGTCCTCTCTTGCATAAGCCAACTTTGAACCTTTATCCAAACTTGTAGCAAGTTTAATGAATAATGAGACAATGCGATTCACATCTCTAGCATCACCCCGGTTTTTTATCCTGAAATCACATAATAATCATAACTCAACAAAAGTCACTAATTCAATATATAAATAATAGAAGCATGATTTGATTGTTACAGTAAAAATTGTCTCTTCTCGAATCACAACACTACTTCATTCCCAAATCATTCACCCAACACACATTCCTCCAGAATATAATTAAAATATCCCTCTAAGACGAAACAAAACACAATCCAAGTTATTCATGAATCAATGGAAGCAAACATGGACACAAAATTGTTAACTGGATGTTATAACATGACTTACTACAATTTGGGCCAAAAGTACTATTTTATACTTTTTAAAGTTCTGAAAGAGCACTGAAACCAATCAATATGTAGCATGAAAGGGAACAACTCTTGGTCATTCCTGAGAAATATAATGGAGAAATCTCAGAAATGAAGTGATGCTCAATTCGTTGATCAATCAAGAGGTTTGTCGCCAGTCCTTATGGTTACATATCATTTACAGAATCGATAAAAAGTACTCGTTGTAAGAAAGATCCATACATGCACAGATAAAGTCCAAATGACAACTTAAATAATCTGCTGCAGGAGAGTGCACCACTACCAACAGGAGGCAGGGTAGTGCATTTTAATATTCTCTGTATTAATGCATCGTATCAAAGCTATGCAGTTGGCAAAAATTAATGTAAGAGATAACTTACTTAATTGCATCGCGACACATACGACTGATATCCTCTTTGATAGAGCTCAAGCCACGAGTGGAATAATATCCATTTCTCATTTTTTCTTCAATCTCAGAAACCTGATAAATGAAGAGAATATGATTAATATGTTGAAAGAGATTGACTGCATATAATAAACATAGCTGAGTAGAAGATAACCAAATGAAATCGTGCTAGCAAATACCTTAGGCACAAAAAACTGAAAGGTGTTCTCACTCATGATGTCATGTAGACCTGTAGCAATATATTCCTCCATTCTCTTATACCCATTTCCAGTCTTCTTAACAGCCAAGCGCCTTAACTGAGCATCCCTAGATAGAATGGACGAAGACTTACGAGCATCAAAGAGCTTGGACCGTTTGTATAAGCTTCGACGAAATAACTGATTTGCAGAATCCCTCTTATCTGAACTCTCTAAATATTCTTTCAGTCCAGTGGAGTCATCCATCCGGTTAGATGCTGATGAACTCCTGTCAGTTAAGTGACTAAGGCTCCGAATTTTTAAATGGGAGGCACGATTTTTGACCCAATTAATATTAGGAAACTTCCACACCAGATCTTCAAACTGAGTGCAACCTCTAATATCTATAGATGACAAAAAAGGTAATGATTGAAGGAGTTCCTCAAGCATGCCAGAAGTGAAGCCAGTACAACCACGTAAAACTAAGGAAGTAATCTTTTCTTTCTTGTAATCGCTCTGCAGATTATAATTTATGTTAGAGTTGCAATACATCAAGTAACAAAAACGCTTCATCTCACTTCCAGTGAAATAGAATTAACATCAAATTACAAATATATCCTTGAGGTTTAGCTCACAAATACCCCCCCTTGAGGTTTGTTTTTAATTTACATACCCCCACCACCCTCAGGTGCAACTTGTACATTACAAACAAATGTCATGGTGCTTTTTGTAATTTACAAAATAGAGGGCTTTGCAAACTTCAAGGCTTGTTTTCTTTTCCATGATTTAACTAGAACTATTAAGCACAAAATAAAAAGAAAAAACAAGCATAACTTACCAAAATTTTCAAGAGTGCGGAATCAGTGGAGTTAGGGGCCATGACGCAAAAGTCAACCTGTCTACATATATCTTTGTACGACGAGGCCACTGACCGCCAATGCTTGCAAGTCAAAGCCGCGTAAAAAAGGGACTTAACATCACCTCTAAGAAAATGAAACACCCGTGCTAGAATATTGCCATCAAGCAGATCCCAGCTTCCCCTACCGATTTCAGAATCCAATCCATCTCCTTTACTGAAGGTAAGCTGACCACACAAATCATCAAATTCGCTCTCATGATTCTGAAAATTTAGCATGTTATCTTCCATTCCATACTCCTCTTCAATCTCATCTATCCTAGCTCTTTTGCTGCGGAAGTGATCTGCAAAATAAACATAAATCAGAGAGACTCTCATAAATCAGCTAGTAAGCTTAAGACGCGTAATAAACAAACTATCAAATCCACCACGTGGCGGAAGTAGAGTGGGGAATGGAAACAGGCAAACATTATTGCTGTTATCTTCTTTCTCTTTCCTTTATTTTACTTTATTTAGTTTTTCGGTCTTCCAAAAGCAGAGGGGGGAATGGTGGTGATAAAAGGTACATCAAAAGAGTGAATAGATCATTGCATGAAAATTTAAAAAAAAATTAATACCTGAATGGTAGATATGTTGTTCAATCTCTTTCTTCGGTTGTCTGGCACTGATCCAAGGATCAAGGACTTCATTTATGGCTGCAGCAAATTCACGACCCTTGTATGACTTCATTATCAATTCATGAAGCTTCCCCCGAGTATATCCAATAAATTGTGGATGTAAGCCATGGAAACTACTCGATCCTCCACTCAATACAGCATCACTTTCTTTCGAATGAGAAGTAAATCGAGTGGCAGTATTCTCATGCTCCAAATTTCCAGAATCTTCTGAGTGAATAGTAACTGGAACCCAAATCTTGTCTCGTTTTCTGAAAACACTGCTATTTTTCTGAATGAGGCCTTTATCTGCCATTACTTGCAGCTCTGAAAATGATAAAGGTCCTCGTTCATGCCCAGCACCATCAAGGAAGTACCAGTCACCCAAATGCAATTTCAACTCATCAACTTTGCAGAGACGATCCTTTGGTATACTTAGTGTTTCACTTTTCTTACTAGAATCCTCTGAGTCTTGTTCGTGGGCACTCTTCAACTGAAAATCTTCAGATGACCTCCTTGTATCATGAGTTGTCGAATATGGTCGTGAAGACCTTGAAGAAAATCTTTCCTTTCCTCTAACTTTTACACGAGGTTCAGACACAAACGAGCCATGGTCCTTTACCACACACGCATTTATCCTAATAACGGGCAGCATCAATCCTCTTACTCCCTTGAAAAGAGCAGATTTAGTTTGGAGATTCAACTCATCAGGAGAGGTAAAAGCCCAAAGTGGAAGGTCAAGCCTTCTGCTCTGAGAAGGATAGTACAGTTCATCCTTTTGCTCCCACCGAGGGTCATCAAGGCCAGACTTGGGCATCTGACACAAGGGATAGCCATCATTTAGAACAAGCTTCCGGTTCCAAGATCTATCTGGAACAGCTTCGTCACTCCTTATCCAATCACATCCCTTACATGCCCATTGGCTAGAATAAATTTCACCAGTTTCACTAAAACCAAGTATGCTATCCTTCTCAGACGAGGCAATCATGGTGGGCCTTGATTCTTCAGTGTCTTTGTATTGAAGTTCAAAACCACTTGGCCTACCTTCAACACCATTACCTTCGCAATACTCTTCCATGTCCTGGTAGTGCCAGGTATGACCTGTGAATGCCCCACAAGTATTACTTAAATAAGCGGAAAATGTATTTGGAAGACTGAAATATAGTGGTTTGACTGCAAAGACTACATAATACCCCTATTCAACTCAAAAGGAAGTAAACATGGCACATATACTGAGATTTGCTTCCTCAATTCTATGAGGATTTTCGAACAAGGATTGCATACCCATAGTAACAATTCAATACCACTTGTTTGGATACTTTCCAATTAATATGAACTTTTCAAATCCCCTGGCAACCATTCTAAGTAATATGATTCCGGATCATAATTGAGATTAGAGCCATCTTACATACTTCGCTCTATATTCTTCTAATAGACCCAACTACTTCCATTCAGAAACAACCTTAGCAAACTCAAGTACTGAAGTAATGTAAAAGAAATCTGTTATCTCAAAAATCAAAATCTAAATAATGATGTTACAGTGCATAATCTGAATACATCGGAGGATAGATGTTGGTGCAAGCATTAACAAGAAACCCAGAGAGACCCGCCATCAAGTGGTCATTCATACATCCACCTTTTTGGGGTGCATGGTGTAATGGTCATTTATAAGAATCTAACTTCATGGATATAATTCAGAGACCTAAAGCAACCATATAACATTAGTTATTAGGCCACTCCAAAACTATCGGCTAACAAATCAGCTTTAAATAAACGCATTGGGCCGGGTGAAAGAGACTGATGATAACTGGGATCTCACAATAACATTAAATAAAAGTACCTTCTTCAATTTTTCGGCTTCTTTTCCACTCTCCATGCTCAACTGTGATTTGCAATACTTCTAAAAGAAATATATCAAAGACAGAAGATTCAGCATTAAATAAATAAATTGAGGGCTAAAATAAACTCAAATTTTCAAGTAGAGAGGAAATAAACTTTTTTAAAGATTTACTGTACAAGAATCGATGCGTACCAGTAAGCATGTCAATTTCCTTGCCAGGAATTAATGCTACACCCTCCAAAAACGCTCCAACTCTGTCGTCAATACGGAGATCTTCTACAGGCTCAGAAACAGAAGAATTCTCCTCAGAGCAGAATATCAAATTTGAAGAAGGGACCAAGATTTCCTCGTCACCAGATACACCATTACAGTTATCTGCTAATACATTACCAGGTGCCTCAGGGGGGCAAACAAGTTGAGTAACTGTGTCTGGAACGACAGAATGGTGATTCAAACTAACCAATGGCGAAGCCGCATTTTCAACAGTTACCCACCTGTCACTGTCCACGTGTTTGATCAAGTGATCCGACACAAGATATCCCTCCTCAACAAGTGTCTTTAGATCACCCAATTTGGTGGGACCGCGTTCAACACCAAAGTGATCCAGGTAATACCACTTCCCTGCAACAACTGCATCTGCCACAATAGGGACATGCGGGGGCGTATTGCATATATCCATATCTTCTTCCATGCATGCTGGATCTTCAATAACTCCATTTTCTTGAGAAGATTCTATACCGTCGTACGCACGATTTTTGGAGTGCTCCTCGACGTGATGGCTAGCAGTTTTATCAGGTGAGATATTTCTATCTGGTGATTCTTTAGCTAAGAACTGGGATTTCCTTCCGCTGGAATCTTTCATCGGAATATTCTTTCCCTCTTGCCTTTTGCTTCCACCCGTCCAATTCGTTTCCCGACTGTCACTATGCCTTGTTCGATCACGTGGCGACCTATCCAAGAAAGTTGGAGACAGATCCCTACTACCCTCGCAGTTTCTGCCATGATCGACATAACCAGGGCTTTGATACTTGTTGTCATAGTGAGAGTTTCGGCCATGGTTGCGGGCCCGATTGAGTGGTGACCGCTCAGAATGATGCCTTTCAGAAGGAATATTCCGCGATGAAGAAGAAGAAGAAGCAGGGGTCTTATATGGCCTTTCGACATTCCTGCCAGAATAGTGGTCCGACTGGAAACCAGAACGGGCCCCATCTTCAGAAAGCTTCCGGTTTTTCGAACCAGAGTAGTCATCATAGTCAACACGGTACTTTCTGTCATTACTATCTGAATCATTACCATGACGCTTTAACCGGTTATTGAAGGGATAGTCTCTTGCATGGCCCTTACTATTCGAAAAGTCATTTTTCAAAGAGCCTTCTTCCCCAGCTATTTTCGAACCGGCCTTTTGAGTTTTCTCACCTTCATATCTGGAAGAAAACTTTCTGAAACGCTGAGTGCCAGCATTTCTGCCGAATTCTTTCTCATTTGAATACTTACCTGATGAAGGTGGGGTCCACTCGCGGTCACCTTTCCATCCTTTGTCTTTACCAGAAGGTGGCGACCAATCACGTTCAGCTTTCCAACCTCTTTCCCTACCTGAAGGTGGAGTACGTTCAGAGTCGCGGTCGAATTTCCACCCCCTTTCCTTTGGAGAAGGTGCTATCCATGCACGGTCGTTTTTCCATCCTTTATCTTTAGCAACATCGTACCTTCGTGGCTTCGAGTAACCATATTCATCGGCTCTGTTTGACCACCGGTCAGGAACAAACTCACCTTTTTCCAGCTCGTCTTTGGATGAACTCCAATGATTCTTCTCGAATTCACCGCCACCCTTACGCCACTTGCCAGGTACAAATTCGCCCTTCTCAATCTCGCTCTTGATCTCGTATTTTCTTGCAGGTGGCTTTTCAGGAACAAACTCGCCATTCTCGAATGGCAGAGTCCCTAATTCACCCTCCTCGACTTCGTCTTTACTGTTTTCATTAGAAAAATCACCGTTACCTTTCTTCTCATCGACATCTTTAGTTGAACTGCCAAAATTCTTCGAGCCCGACTTGTTTCCCTTGTTCTTTTTCAGCTTCATTTTTTTAGGATTCACTTTAGCCATTTTGATGGGAGAATTGGAAGGAGAAGAATTGACGTTAGCGTTGCCATTTGTCTTTCCACCGCAAATTGAAAACTTGTCCATAACATGCTGTGAAGGCACGCATGCAACACCGCCATCGCCCATGGAATGCCCCAAAATGAATCTTTTTTAATTGAGAAAACACCGCTACACAAACCCTAATCCACTTCTTCCCCGGGGCTATCTATGCTCATACTGTTGTCCTCCTCGTAGTAAACAGCCTTCAAAATTCCTCCTTCCTCCAAAACCCACCTACAAAAACAAAGAAAAAAAAAAATCAATCCAAATTAACAAACCCTGGGCCAATCAAAAAACCACAAAATTCTCGAGAAAAAATGTAGTAGGGCTTTTGAATTCGGAAACAAAAAACCAAAAATCAAAACAAAAAATTCCAATTGCCCGAGTTGAATGAATGACCGAAACATCCAACGCGGAAACGGTTAAGATGAAAATGGCGAAGACTAATGGAGGTAAGGAAAAAATCTGGGTTGGCGCTAGGGTTTTGAATATGAAGACTTACGAGTTGGGGAAAAATTGCCGGAGGCGGAGGTCGGCGCGTGGGATCGGAGAAGTAAACGAGTTTAGTGAGTGGAAACGGAGAGATTGGGGATAATTCAAAGGGAATTACAGAGAGAGAGAGAGAGAGAGGATTAGAGAGAGAAAGAAGACAGCGGATCGATTGATGAGAGAAAGAATAGCTGAAGACGAAATCTCTGTAAATCGGTTTATTTTGATTTCTCCTTTTTCTTTCTTTTTTATATAAATAAAATAATATAATAATATTTTATTTTTCTGCAAATTCTTGCTTAGTAGTTTGTTTATAAAGGAGTTGAGCCTCAGGTATTTGGGCTTTTGGTCAAAATAAAAACCTAAAAAAAGTGATCGTTTGAGTCTTTTGTTTTCCGATGTTGGAAATCGGAACGGAATCTCCGAATTTCGTCGATGTACGCGTAAATTTTCCGATTTTGGAATATTATTAATCTCGTTGAGAATTTCGAACACGATTCGGAATATTCCGTATTTTTCATAACGTTAACCTTATGGTGTAGATATTATTCTGAAACAAGATTTATTAATTTGAATTTCTGATTTTTTTTTTCTATTTGTTGTTGCGGAATTAGAATTAGTTTTTTATTTTCGAAAAATTGAATTTTATTTAAAATGTTAGTTTTGATTCGATCCATCCGATATCTCTTGTCTAAAGTATTAATATTGTCAAAAGTATTTAGAGTTAAAGTAAAATGACAAATAAGAGTTAAAGTAAAATGACAAATACGATAAAAAAGAAAGAGTAATTTGATTTCACCCTCAGATATGTTTGCTACTTACTCAAAAAAAATGTTTAGCTACAAACTAGAGGACACTAAATTTACCACCAAAAGGATGAACGTGTAAGAAGATTCATAGTTGAGGGTGCTTGTAATTACCCAAATATAAGGGGGGTTTCGTAATTTGACCTTACCTCATGGATATGTTGTAATTTATCTTAAATATTAATAAATACGTCAAATAATAAATTTAATATTTAGTTACTTATTTAATCGGGCATACATCAATGTAAACCTAGTGAGCTAAATAAAGTAGGCTACAAACTTTTTTAGTTTAATAAAATGGTTAAAATTCGGTCCAAGTCACTGAACTTAATTCAAGTAACATCAGGAGGGTGTTTGACTAAGTTTACAAGGTTCCAGAAACAATATAAAAGTTTTTTAATAGGTTATGAGCTCCTAAAATATGTTTGGTATTTTTTTCATAAAAATTTTAAAACTTTAAAAAGAAACTATTAGAAAGTTTATAAGTAGATTTTAAAAAAAAAAAATTGAGTCATCGTGCTTGGGAATTGAAAGTCATAAATACATGGTGTCCATGAATCAATAACATAAATGGAATTGAAAGTCCAAGATATATAGTGTTCATGAATCAATAGCATATACTAGTATTAATTTGCGCATTCCTTTTATTGAAGGTAAAGACGAAAATAAGGTGTAACAAGATTTTCTTTGAGGTAGATTTTTAACCCAACTTGAAGCACAAAGATTGAATGTCATATGAATCAAATATGCATGAATCAATGAACACTGTTCACAACATTAATGGTTTGAGTTATCTAAAATTTAAAATGTAATTCATTCATGCGTAATTTTGTCATCTGACAATTTGACATCCAAAGATGAAGCTCAAGACATAAAAAGAAGAATTAGGTCTTTGCACCTAAGCTTAAATTGGTCGGGTGAAATTAGAAATTGTACTTCACACATGAGAAGAAGGTTTCTTTCGTTTAAGCCATGAGACATGGCTTTAGAAGGAGGAGTAGTGTAATGGTATTAAACTTTTTTTTAGTTTTCTAAAGAAGTTAAACGGTGGATTTTTGAGGTTTATAAGATATTTCGGCACTTTTGGCTTCAAATAAGGAAGATGTCGTGCGATGTCGTTTTGAGCAACTCCATGGAGAGGATCAGACACGCGATCACTATTTCAAAGCTGCATAAAAGGGGAGTTTGCTCAGCTTGATCAACAAGTCATTTCTGAGTATTTTATAGTTAACTAATTTGATTAAAGTACCTTAACTTTATCATATTGGAACGATCAAATTTGTTCGTTCTCAATATTGAAAAACCTAGTTTGGTTCGAATATTCAGCAATATACTTTAACCATTAGCCAAACCTTATCTCATCTGAGTTTTGTTTTCAAGTTTTGTACAAATTCTTTCTAGATTCATAACAAATGATAGAGTATTAAGCGGCTGGAGAGAGTGATCCGACTTGGTGAAACGTGAATATAGAAGTTAGGGATTTAGAGTATACGAGTAAATTAAAAATAGGGTAAATTACAACCACCTCCTGAGGTATGGTTAAATTACGAAAAAAAACCCTCATGTTTGGATAATTACAACTACCCCATCAACTATGAATCTTCTTACACATTCACCCTTATGGTGTTAAATTCAACATAATCTTCTAGATTTCGTGGAATGTTCTCTAGTTTGTACTCTTTTTGTGCAAAAATGTAGTTTCCAATTCACCATAATTTGATGTATACAAGCCAAAAAATACATTTTATGATCAACTTGCTTCAAAATGTAGAGCTAAAATGGAATAAAAGAAGGTACAAAATTAAGAATATTCCATATAATTTAGAAGATTCCACTAAATTGACACCGGAAGGATGAACGTGTAAGAAAATTTATAGTTGATGGGTGGTTGTAATTATCCAAACATAAAAGGTTTTTTTTCGTAATTTGACTATACCTCAGGAATGTGTGAAATTTACCCTTAGGAATAAAACCAATTAAATTGTGTTTGATTTAAGGATCACCTATCATATATTACGGTATTACCCCTAAATGTTTTTAATACTTGGAATAAATGTATACAAGAGTTGATGGTTTGGGCTCCACGATTGAGGGCCCAAAATGATACGGTTTGTTTTGGGCCATTGGTTCTCAAAAACATTGTTGACCACATGAACAACATATTAAATTAGTTTATACTTCATAGTACTATGCAAATAAAATAAAATAAATTTAAACTCATTCAATAATATTTTTATCTTTACTAAAATATTTTTCACGTAAATAACATAAGAAACATAATGATAGTGGGAAATAAGTTTGCTCTTTGTATGTAAAATAATCAAATGACGGTCAAGGCACACTTGAACCCACGAATGAAAAGGCGCGCTCAAGTTGTCGTCGCTGCACGTTCAGGGATTCCACAAGCCCGTACGCACCAAGCACGCGCCCTGCCGTATGCAATGCATGAGAAGGTACATCATTGTCCGTCCAAACGCAATGCAAGATGCATAGCATTGGACAAACAACAACAACAAGTCCAACCGAACATACTCCGCCAAGCACAATTTCTTTGCAGTCTCGTTCATTTCGAGTTGTAATAACTCCACGTTCTTGTTGCATTTTTTTTCTCTTGAAAACTCGCATTGTTAATGAGAAACAAAAATTTAATTTTTAAGGTCTTAAGTTTAAAATTACATGAATATTCCTTGAGTTTATTGTTAGCTAATATTTAGTTTTTTTTTTTTTTTCATCATTTGACTTTTTATAAATTGATTATATGAAATTTAACTTCATCTCGTGTTTATTCATAGTACTTTAGTAAAAACAAAATATTATTTTTCAGTGTGAAATCTTTTTTTTTTTTTCAGTTAAAATTAAACTTTATGGGAGCGATTCGTAATATTTTTTAAAAAAATATGAGGTTTCTATAATTTTACATAAGGGTTAATTTATTTATTAAAAAGGCACAATTATTTAATAATTAATTTGTTGCCCAACATTCTCTGGCACAGCTAATTATGATGTGGGTTTGTGTTTATTATGAGAATAGTTACCAATTTATAAATATAGATAATATCTCTATTGATATATTTAGACTCAAATTTATTCATACTAACCTAAGCCAATTAATTTTTTTTTTTTTTCTGAATTTTCTAGATGTATTTTTTGGTTGACAGATTTTTAGACATTTAAAATAAAAATTAACAGCTCATATATTTACATTATTAATTTATACAATATAATTAAAAATACAATAAAAAATTATTACAAAGAATCAAATTGTTTCATTTATAAAAATGGTCATAACAAACTGAATCACTGACAAAATATTAAATTAATTTTGGTCCACAATTCAGTTGTAAAAGAATGAGTCATAAATCATAATAATCGACAAAAAGAAGTAAAAGAAAAAATAAGTAATGGGTCCAAACTACTACATCTACATCTAAAATAATCATATTTATAATTTAACACTCATAATTAGTGATTGCAAAATATTTTGGTCCACCTGAGGTAAACATGAAAATTTAATAATTCATTAAATTTATAGAATAATAAATACATGAAAGTTCGTATAAATCTCGCGCAATATAAGCTAATAACTTCTTAATATAGAGTAACACGTATCCTTAAAATTTTGTCCGTACAAATATAAAATTTCCCAAGACCAAACACATTGAATGAACGAGAACAACACACATAAAATACAAACACGAAAATAACATACCATACCAGTCCCTCAAGGGATGGCCTAGCGGTTGGAGCAAGAGAGCTTGTGTCAATTGACCCAAGTTCGAATCCCCTTGCCAACGATCGCTAGGTCGAGCTTGTCACACATGGTTAGCCTAGTGTGGTTTACATCTCTCGTATGGTTTGCAAGCTATTATACGAGAGTGTAGGTTTACCCAGTGCACCTATATGGTTGGCGGCGGGTTCCTTCATTACCAAAACAAAAAAAAAAAAAAAAACGAAAATAACATACCATGATTCAATAAAATTGTATCCTTAAAATCGTAAATCGATTCTTAAATTTCCATATTTTTTTTTTTGTGATTTAGGTAAGGCACGCGATAGTAGATTCACAGTCCAAAACAACCAGTCCAACTTAATTATATTTCTTAATTAGACCACATTTAATTTGAATTATCTTATTAATTTATTAATTATCTAATATTCAAGTTTTACCTTTTTTTTATGTATACATTATTAAACTAATAAAAAAATATATAAAATAAATAAATAAATATAATTTTAAAATACAAAAATACATTTAACCAACAATCTCACATATATGTACTTACCTGATCAAAATAAATAAATATATATACTTGTAATAATAATAAAATTAATTAATCTGCAGACAGAACAACTTAATTTTTTTATTTTTTATTTTTTATTTTTATTTTTATTTATTGTTTTAATTTGGTTAAATTACAAGAATGTCAGAGAATAATATATCCCAGTGGGCACAAAACACTGGTTCTGTCAAGTCTCCAGCTCCAACTGTACAACCTCTGATTTCTCTTTTGTTTTTATTTTAAATCCTTAATTTAATTATCCCACATGCTAATCTCAAATCCTTACACTACACATACATTTCTTTGCTTCACGCACACTTCTGTCTCTCTTTCTCCCCCAGATCAGATTAATTAAACCCATGTTTTTTTTTTGTTGGTCTAAATAATAATCGATTTGGGTTGTTGCAGAGAAATCAAGAACCGGCGTTTTCTGCTTGTCCCTTTTCACCCATCAGAATAATAAAGATTAAAGATACAGTCTTTCCATATTTCAAAATCTCTCTCTCTCTCTCTATACTCTCTTTCTCTAACTACTGTTTTATTTCCTTAAAGGGTGTGTCTTGAATTTCTGGTTCGTTCTTCTTTCTGTTTATTATTCGTTTTTTTTCTCCGCTATGGCAGAGAACTGCTTTCTTGATCTTGAGGTTGATGTCAATGGCGAACAGGTTTTCTTCCTTAATAAGGTAAAAACACAGATTCTTGATTCTTGATTCTTGATTTTCATGTCCAAATTTTGTGGCTTAGCTTGTTTCTCTTTAATGAGTTCTGTTTTTTTTTTCCTCTTTCTGGGTTTTGTTTGTTTTTTACTATGAATTGAAGTTTTGCATACATTCTTGAATTATCTATCATCATTTCACATAATTGTTGTCATTAAATTTTTACCAAGCAATCTTTTAAAAGGCCTCGTTTGGTTTGGGAGATTAGCCGTGATTAACTAAATAACAGGAACTTTGTTTGATGTCCGGCATCGCAAATAACTTGTCGGGTCGACCCGCTAATATTTTGTTATGAATGACTTATCTTGCCTTTCAGTCGAGGGTTCCGATAAAATGAGGCCTAAATCATTTGCAGCTAAACAATTTAATTCTCATCATAGTTAATTAATCCATTATGTGTAATGATATATGTCATTTATTGTTGGCTACTACTATGAATAATTTAATGTTCATACCTTTACTTAGATTTTTTTTTTCACACCTTTTAAAAATTGGCACTGTTCTTTTGCCTTGTTTGAAGGGGATGTAGCCACTTTACCTCGAATTCCTTTCGGACAATTTATTGCATTACAACGACTTCTCATCTTTCCTTTTCGGACAATTGGCTCTCTCTCTAACTAATGGTGGATTTACAGTTTTAATTGTAATAACATAGCATGTGTTCCTTCATTAATGCTGTATGTGTAGACCACCGCAACTTACTCCGTCGGTCCCACATCGATCTTTTTTTTTTTTTTTTTGTCGTTTCGTTTTCGGTTCATGTTGTTTGGTATTGAATAATTTGTTTCTAGTGCAGTAGTTTAATTATGATACACACATTCTTTATTAGACTTTTTTCTTACATTAACTATGGATTTTTTGTCCGATTCTTGCAGGGAGTTTTATCTTCTTATTCGGAAAAAATAAGCAAATTAGTAACTAGATCGAAAGGCGTAAACCAACGTTTAAAGGTGATATTCAACGATTTTCCAGGTGGAGCATCGAATTTCGAGCTCGTCGCAAGATTCTGCTACAACAATGGAAAAGTCAACATAGATCCTACTAACATATCCAACCTTAATTGTGCTGCGCATTTCATGGAAATGAACAAACCCTTCTCCAAGAACGAAAATCTTTTCGAGAAAACGGAGAAATCATTGGACGAGATTCGATACTGGACTTGGTCCGATCTTCTAACTGCTTTAAAGCAGTGCCAAGATCTAACGGCTAATAATAGTAGCTCTTCGAATATACTCGACAAGTTCTTGGATTCTCTCATCGCAAGAATCGCCTCGTCTTGCCAAGCAAGCCCTTGCCCGTCTATTTCCTCCTCGGAATGTTCCGGAACATTCCGACTGTCGTGCGATACCAGAAGCACCGAGAGCTTAAAGAACACTTCTATATACAGACTCACGTGGTGGTTCGAAGATCTCAGCATCTTAGACACGGGTTCGATTCGAATGCTCGTAAAGTTGATGGTATCGAGAAATTTCGAGAACGGAATCATTAGTAGATTCCTATTTCACTACCAAAAATCAAGATTCGCTTCCGCCTCGGTTCTTGAAAAAACCAAAATCGTCGAAACAGTTATCGACATGCTCGATTCTTTGGATATAAGGTCTATATCCTACAAGGGCCTTTTCGTAATATTGAGCATTGCAATAAATACAAAGGTGGGCCCGCAATGCATGGAGAAGTTAGAGATTATGATTGGTTCGCAGTTGGATCGAGCGAACTTAGATGATTTGCTTTTCCCATCTTCTGCGAGGCGGAGTTACTTGTACGACGTGAATTTGGTTCTTCGATTCTTGAAGGCGTTTCTTGGCAAAGGTGTTTGTTGTGTGCCTTTGAGTAGGCTCAAGAAAGTCGGTAGCTTGATGGATTTGTATCTTGCTGAGGTGGCGCCCGATCCTCACTTGAAACCGTCGAAGTTTTTGGCCCTAATGACGGCCCTACCCGATTCGGCTAGAGATTCTTGTGACGGAATATACCATGCCGTCGATTTGTATCTAGAGGTATATTTCATTATTTTGCTCGTTCGTTTTCTTCGATCAAAATCATATTTGGCGATTTTCTCAATTTGATTTGTCGGGACTCAATGCAGGTTCACTCAAGGTTGTCCGAAGAACAAAAGACGAAAATCTGTCTAGGGATAAACTACGAGAATCTCTCTTCCGAAGCATTTAACCACCTCGCGAAAAACCCGAAATTCCCGTCGAAATCAGCCATCCAAGCCCTCGTTTCTCAGCATCGAAAACTAAAAGGCCTGCTTCAAAATACCGACGAAGAAAAACAAGAAGAAGAAGCCCTCTTCACCGATTCGCCTTCGAATTTACCACACGAGAAAAAGACGAAAGACGAGGGATCGAAGCAAATCGTGCTATACGCAAAGAGACTAATGATCACCGACGAAAACGAGAAGATGAAAACACACCTACAAGGCATGCAGTGGAGGGTGGTGGAGCTGGAAACTATATGCAGGAAAATGCAGCTGCAGATGGCGAAGATGATGAAATCGAGAATGTCGGGGCATAATGGTAATTCTGCGAAATCTGTTCCTAGGCTTTGTTCATAGAGCAATGAGGGTAGAGAATTTTTTTTTTTTTACATATGTGTTGGTTACTTTGTACATAGCCATGCAAATTAAACATGTCTGGAAAAGTAAGTTGTCTTTATTAGTTTATTATTATATTCTCTTCTTGATAAAGAAAAAAAGAAAAAAAGAAAAAAAGAAAAACAGAGAATGAAGCAGCTTTGGCTGTAACAACAGTGTGAGCAAAAAGAACTATGTCTGAAAATGTTTTGTAAGGGTTAGGTCTCTTTCCTGAGAGAGAGAGAGAGAGAGAGAGAGAGAGAGAGAGAGAGAGAGAGAGAGAGAGAGAGAGAGAGAGAGAGAGAGAGAGAGAGAGAGAGAGAGAGAGAGTGCAGCAAGGTGAAGTCACACTCTGTATTATTCTCATGTTTAGGGCAAAATCTATGATGTTTTGTCTGTATCAAATGGTGGCTTTGCAAGAGATTAAGAGCAGTAGTAGACAGTAATTTGACTTGGGAATATGTGCTCTCTTGTCAACGAATCTTTTATTTATTTATTTATTAATTTTAAGATTTTTTTTTTTATATTTTTAAAATCTTAAATGGTTGAATTATATATTTAATAATTTCACACAAAAAAAATGGAATTTTTGATTTTTTTTCGAAAGTTTTTTCGACTTTTTTTAGCATCACTGAAAATAGAGAAGTAACACAACTGCTGCCAAAAAGTTCCGAAATCTGAATCAATTTTCGATTTCTGGTTTCTTTAGAATTAGTTTCTACTTCCCAAAAAAATATCCAAAAGTATATTTTTCATTCCGATTAGTCCGATTTCCACGACGACGTCACAACAATATAGAATAGCAGTTAGGAAAGTCAAAATTAATACTTTTGATGATGTATTCATTTTTGTGTCACTAGTGCTTACTAGTTTAACTCATTTATAAGTGTAAGATTTTGTTCGTTGGTAAACCTACGATCGGATGTTCTTTTATCGAACTGCGCTGTTAATAAATAGTTCTATCGAACTTTACAAATTCTCTATCGATTGGTAATGATAGATTACCGCATCGTACCAAAATTTTTAATGTGACCATATATAGTACCTAATTTCATTACCATATTGTTGCCCTATCGTATTGAAGAAAAATAAGGAGCGAAGATAGTGCGTGGAATAACTATTATCCGCTAAAATAAGTTGTAATTTTTAGGTGTGCAAAAGTATTTTAAATGTTTTCATCAGTGACGAAGTATTAATTCATGTTAAATATAAACGAAAGTAATTACTTTTTCGAATACTAAACACATTAAACAACGTTGTTCTACTTATTAAGTCGTGAGTACGCTTTTGTTATTTCGTTTTCTATCTCTGTGGCTAAGGAAATGATCGGACAACACCGATTTGAGAAGACCTTCTGTACGGGGACCATTTCTGAAGATGACGTCTGAAAGATGCCAATAAAAAGGTCGGCAAGGATTGGAGTTTGGTATCTGATTTCCGAGCTTTGTTCCCAAGATTTATTTTTCCATCTTGAAATTCTTGGTTTATGTTATGAATTCTTAAGTGTGGATGACCACCATTGCTACCATCATCAAGCACCATTACTCCCACTATTAACTCACCATTATATGCCCATAACTCCTTGTAACTCATGACCTTTCATGGTCTTACTTGTACTATCTATAGTGCTCCATTGTATTGAGTTGGATACACAAGAAGAACACAAGAAGATATATTTGTTTCTCTCTATATTACTATGTTAATTCATCTTTGCTTTGTTCTTCTTTGTTAGTTTCTCAATACGTTATCAGCACGATTGTTCTACTTTAATTTTCGAGTAAAGATGGTCCAAGGAAGATGACTCCATAGCCATAGAAGATGAAAGGGAGTTGATTTTAAATTTTTTTATTCTTGTTTGAATTGATAAAATATTAACCATTTTAATTTTGTTGTAGGTGATTTTTCGTGCAATTCGTTAGTTCGTACTTTGAGCCCAATTTTGGACATGATAATGTTCGAATTTCAGAACATTCAAAATACGAAACTTGTAGAAGTTTCTGTTGGTTGTTCGGAACATTTTGAATCATCAAAATCGGATCCCGATCGAGGGAGATATGCTTGAAATACTCAGCTCTGCCAAAGTTGTCCCTTGTGCGAGTTTTTGAGATGAACATGATGTTCTAAAAACAAAAGGGACGATTAAAGGCATAAAGCCTAGATTACATACGAGATCAGAAATCTCGATTGAGTATATATATTAGACTTTACGTCTAAATGATAAGACTCTTGAACATTTGAGTTAGAGGGTATTCCCCATTTATAGTACTGTTCGTTCATGATCAATGTACTATAACAATTTTATTATATATTGAAGCCCAAATCGAGCACGTGAAATCAAGTGACTCGAATGTTTGAATGTTATATTATAGCGATTTTTATTATATATTGAGGCTTGAGGCCCAAATTGAGCACGTGCAATCAAGTGACTCGAAGATTTGAATGATATATTAAAGAGAAAAAAAAAGAAACAAAAAAATCTAATTGCTCTCTAGTTTATGCAACTTGAAACGCTCCATGAATCGAAAAGAACTTGAAGTTCATAAATTTTAGGCTCAAAGCCTAGTTTAAATATGAAAGCTTGAAAGCTTATATGGAGGAATATTAAATATATATAAAGGCTTGAGGCCTAGATTAAATTTGAAGACTAGATATCTCAATTGAATACATTAGACTCAAGGTCTAAGTGATGATACTCAAAATTGAATATTTGAGTTAATGGGTATTTCCCACTCAATGTATCATTATTTTACGATTAAGTACCAAATACAAAGACTTGAGGCCTAAATCGAGTATATAAATTCAAGGTATAAAACTCAATCCTTGATATTAGAATAGTATATTGTACTCGAAAGTACTATTAAGTTTGTGGTTCAATGATATATATGAAAAATCGAGTTAATTATAGTACTATTATTTTATATTAAGTACTATAAAGATTTATATGAAGCCCCCATGCTCAAATCGAGTACATAATTTTGAGCAATAAAACTCAAATCTTGAGATCATATATATATGTACTCAAAAGGCTATTCCTTTGTGATTCAATGATATGAGTCATATCAAGCAATTTGAAATTATTTTTGATAGCTCAAGAAGAAACGTAACTATGAGTTTTGGATCACTGAAATTAGGGCTGGGCAAAAATTACCAAATACCGATTACCACGGTATACCTACCACAAATTACCGAATAAATACCGAACTATCGGTTACCACTGCATTTGGTACGGTATCGGTACCGTACCACTGTCTTACGGTACGGTAGCGGTATTGTATCTTCAATACCATGGTAATACCGTACCGTACCGCAACTTATTTTAAAAATTAGTTAACATATTTTCCCTTTTATATTGTTAAATAAAAAAAATATAGTCAACAAATATTATTAAAAAAAATAAAAAAACAAGAATAAAGATATGATACATCCTATATATATTATATATACATAATTATAATTTTTTTTTTATTATTTTCATATATTTATGCAAACTCAATATTTGGCTCTCGTTGAAGTTGTTTATGTCACGTACTTCGTTAGTTTCAAAGTCCAACTAATCTCTTATTGGTGGAATACCTTTTGCCATAATTTTCTCTCCCTTTCTCTCCCCCTAAGTTCCCAGCCTTTTGTTTCATTTGCATTATTGCAACATAGTTTTTTATTTTTTATTTTTTTCATTTTTTTATTTCTCTTTATATAAACCATGAAACTTGTTTCATTAGTTTCTAAAAAATTTCTATAGATATCTTAGTAATCATTAGTTAATTGAAGTGCTATTACGGTCGTATAATGTACATTCATGTAAATTGCCTGATTACCATATTTATTTGCTTAATTTGTTGTATTTATGCATTTATTTAGTATTCATCTTAATTATGGTATCATCCGAGTTAATGAACAAAATGATGTACGGTAGATTACCACGTACCGATCATACCGTACCGAAACTAACGGTATACCGAATAACGGTATACCGCAATTGTTGGTACGGTAACGGTATAGAATTTTTCAATACCGAAAGATGCGGTAGGTACACGGTATTGAACAAAATGTTCGGTAACCGTACCGAAACCACCCCTAACTGAAATTGAAGATCCATTTATGTGTCATGACGGAATAGACAAATATTTCATATGAAAATGCGTCTTAAAGACACAACAAAGTATTATTGTATCTTGAGGATACAAATAAAGTATTGGTAATACGTGTCTCGATGACACAAATTGAATATATGTTGCTATATGTGTTTTGAAGATACACAAAATGTAAATTTGTAAGAGAAAATATTCTCTAATCCATGTGACTTGAAATGCTCCATCAATAGCAACATTTTAATTTAAATTATACCCGTGAAGTAGCAACATAAAAACTCAAGTTGCAATCATAATAGCAAAATCAAGAAATTTGATTGCATATTGTTATATATCACGAGTTGTGAGCTAAAATTGAAATAATGCAAAGCTCATTTGATTGATATTATTATTTGACAGTTAAAATAATAAAATGTTTCACGAGATATCTTATATAGATATCATGGTGCTTATTACAATATATATTTATCTCACCATTAGAGGTGAAGAGATGTGAGAGATATTGACAATGATTGGTCATAAATTCATTTTACGATAAAGCATGTTGATAAGCTTTATCAAGCACCAATAGGAAAGCAAAAGAATTTGCGTTGATTTTGGAGTCACGATAGTGACCAAATCAATTAAAGTTGCAAATTTCATTCCAAATACATATGGAGGTATGTATATGATTTTTTTTATAATTGATCTAGATGAGATGAGATGAAATTTCAAACCAAACGAAAAAAGGGGATCTGATTTTCTTACCCTCTGCATATTCTGATTTTTCAAAATTTACAGTTTACTCCTCAAAATTTTCAAAATTTTCATTTTAGTCCTCCGTATTCGAAAATTTTACGATTCAGTCCAAATATTTTTTTTAGAATATGCAGCTCGTTCCTCTCATCATCTGCAATTATGAATATATTTCAGCATTTTCAGTTTTCACCGAATTTTTTAAAATTTCAGTCTTGTCCCTGAAGTTTTCAAATTTTACAGTTTGGTCCCTAAATTTTCAAATTTTACAGTTTGGTCCCTGAATTTTTCAAATTCTGAAATTTGGTCATTTGTATACCGGACCTGTTAGATTCTCAAATGTAGTTACTCTCATCTAGATAACAACTATACGACATGGTTTATTTATAATTTATGCTATGCAATATTTTGCACCCCAAATGGGAGATATTT